CAATCATGATGAATGATTTCGTTTCACATTTTGTCTGAAACTAGAAACTTTATATGTTTTTAAAGCATCTCAGTTTTTTTTGGTTATCTGTACTGCCCTTTGTTAGTTTTTGGAGCCTGCATATATCCCGCACTGCTTTTTAAAATATCAGGAGCTAGACAATTACTGTTAATTTCTAACTTTAAACTACATTTTAAGGAAAAGATGGTTCTGCTGCTGACAGTGATGTTCATATTAGTTATTTTGACCATAAGATCTCCAATTGAAAGAAACCTCTTCCATTTGTGGCAACATGTTGACTCAGAATCTTGGATTTCCTTTTCCTTGATAGCAAAAAAGAAGGTTTGGGATTAATTTGGAGCATGACAATCAGAGCTGGCTCTACAAAATATTAACCTAGACTTTCTCTGATCTTACTGAATGGATGGTTTACAAATTCTTGAAAGTTGTGATATTGAAAATTCTCTCATGGCTTTTAGATAGAAGTATCCTTTGGGAACCAAGATAGTCAATGTCAGATTTAATGTCAATAGAAAGGGCCGGCCAAAAAAAATATAAATAGGAAGGGGATTTTGAAGAGTTTGGATGAGAGCTTCTGGTTACAAGTATAAGCTTGTGTTGCATTCTTTATTTGCCACTGGCTTTCTTATTAGTGAAGTTATTTTATGTACCAATTTTGATAATAGCTTTTACCAAGATGATCTGTTACCTCTATTTTGGATGCATATAATGGTGTCTTTTTTTTGGGCGGGGGGTATATCTAGTTTCATGGCTGTAATTATATTGATGAGTTATTGTTCACAACCATGTCCATCTCCCTTTTGTATATCAGCCTATGTAGCTTACAATTGTAATGTGTAACAAGTTTCACCCTGGTTTGACAATTGTTAGGGAGCAACAATAGTTGATTCGTCGGTTACAGTAACTTTGGATCCAGATTACGAGCTTCCACCAGCTGCTTTGACATCACCTGTAAGCTTTGCATGACCCTCTACAATTGTACTAAACCAAATTAGGCTGCTTTGGCATAACAATTTGTGTGGCTTTACAGGTAACTGAAAGTAAGGCTCCTGGTGGTGCTGAATCTGCTTTTAGAAAGGCAGAGGATGTTGTCACCGGCATGCTGGCCAGGGGCTTTGTCTTGGGGAAAGATGCTGTCAGCAAAGCGAAGACATTTGATGACACGCATCATTTATCATCAACTGCCTCAGCAAAAGTTGCATCTTTTGATCAGAAAATTGGTTTCAGTGAGAAAATAACTGCTGGTGCTTCAGCTGTGAGTGATCGAGTTCGAGAAGTTGATCAAAAGTTTCAGGTTTCAGAAAAAACCAAAACAGCATTTGCAGCTGCCGAACAGAAGGTCAATGAAGCAGGTTCTGCTATCATGAAAAATCGCTATATACTCACTGGGGCATCATGGGTGACAGGTGCTTTCAGTAAGGTTGTTAAGGCAGCTGAGGATGTAGGACAGAAGACAAAGGAGAAAGTGCACAATACAGAGGAGGAACGGAAGCAAAAGGATCAGCATGCTCAGGTCCTCTCTGAGCCACCAGCAGCAGCACCAGCAACGGGTTCACAGAACCCGTCTAAGTCTTCTCCTGAGGGTTTGATCCTTTAATTTTTCTTCTTGTGTATGGACCTCCTGGCAACTCTTTCCACTTGTATAATTTTTGTTCGTTTCTGCTTGAAAATATAGAACAGATTTCACTAGTTACTTGGACAAGTTTGCAGTTATTAGTTTTTCTTTTGCAAGAAAGATATGCTGAAATACATGGGTATTTGATGATTTGTTTTTTATTGTTTTGGGTCGCTTTCCTTATTTGTTCTGTGGTGTAATATGCACCTTGTTTACCTTGTACCCGCGAAAGTCCGATCAGGTGTGTTTTCAGAACTGATGGATGATTGCAATTGAACGATCAAGTCAAGTGTTTTGCTGTTAATAGGCCTCTCTGAAATCGGTTGCGATCCTACGTTCAAGAAATCCAGACATTTAAAGTATCTCTTGTCTGCCTCGTTTTAATCAGTTTAAACTTTCTTCTTGTTATTTATATAAATGCTACGACTGTGCATGGCAGTAGTTTCTTGAGAGATTGATTGGAACACTTAATTTTATTTAAATAATTAATGAAGAGTGATTAAATAGACAGGTTGTGTACCAATTCCAGGTTGTTCCAAATAGAATTTCCTATAATTTTGTTATCAAACCTCATTGTGTAACCTGGCTCATCATATATTGATGGGAAAAAAATATTAAGAGAATTTAATCCTTTCTAAGTGGAACCTCCCGATGTATCTGAGTCGTAACTTGTTCACGTTTTAGATAGTATCTGAGTCAGGCCCCAGAGGCTTCTCTTAATCTCGTGAAGGAAGAATTTGATGGGGAAAAAAAAAACAAATGTAAAGAGGCAGACTCGTGAAGATGCAAAAGGAGCGGACGGACGGGAGGAGAACGCGCGCAAACAAGAGCTCCACTCACGAGCAGTCATAGTAGCGTCTACCGTGTTGCTCGTGACGTTCGGTGCCTCCTTTAAAAGACATTAGAAAGAGGTAAAAAAATTAATCTAGTTTTTCGAAATATATCAATAGTAAATGCATATAACAAATTAGTTTCTTTTTATTCTTATATATAAATATATATTTAAATACTTGGAGTATTTTATTTTCTATCAGCAAAGACCAATTTGTCTGGAGAAGGCCAGATGATAAATATTGTAAAAATCGATTTATTTTTATATTAAAATCACATTATAGAATTGAGAATTTTATAAGATATATTGTGTGTGCAAAGAGGACGACATGTCGGAGCCACTATATCCGTCACTATTGGGATATGGGATAAACAGTGCGGGACCGTCTGCTTCTCTCTTAAGAACTACCCAAATGGCCAAATTGCCACGGAAATTTTTGGGAAAACTCAATTGAGAATTTTAATTTTAATTCAATAAAAAAAATGAGAAAAAAACAGAAAAATCCTCCTAAAATATGCAAATGATAATGAAATTTTATAAAATGTCATAATTTATCTCAAATCATTTGACATTAGTAATAATTTTTTATGAAATGCCTAAACTTCCAGTTTAGACTAAAAAAGTAACAATTCTTGTCCCAAAAAATAAATAAATATCAGTTGTTAATGTAGTTTAAGTAATCACTACTTTTTTTAATAATAGATATATTGAAATAAACAATTATAATTTTTTCTGTACAAATTTTTTATTCACTAAAATTCAAATATTATAAATATTCATGATTATTTAATTTAAGCAAGAATTATTTTTCTTATAGCAATGATTACAGTGAAACAAACAATTATGACTTTTTTTGTGCAAATTTTTTATTCACTGAAATTCAACTATTATAAATATTTATGATTATTTTAATTTAATTAATAACTATTTTTTTAGCAATAATTAGAATGAAACAAATAATAACAACTGCTGTACAAATTTTCTAATTTACTGAAATCCAAATATTATAAATATATATTTTACTTTAGCAATGACTACTTTCTTCTGACGATAATTAAAGCGGAACAAGTAACTATCACTTTAGTTTAAATTAAGTGTATTTTAGTTATCTCATCAAAAATTATTAATGTTGGAAAAATTCATAGAAATTTAAAAAAAAAATTATGACATTTTGTAGAACTTTACTGACATTTGTATATTTTAAAGAGATTTTTCTGTCATCCTAGTAAGAATCATGTTAGATTTTATGAAAATATGATATTTTAATGATTAAAAATTCATTATATATATGTATATTAAAAAAATTCAAAATTAGTGACGATTTTTGTAAATTTTGATTACTGGGAATCAATTTAAGCCATGGAAATTTCTCATTTTTTATTGAAAGGCTGTACAATTTATAAAAGTGTTTAAAATTTAACAAAACAAATTCAACCGAATTGAACCAAAATAGTTACAAATGAGATTTGGTTGATTTATTTTAATGTCAAAATCAAATGGTTTGGTTTAGTTTTAGTTTGGTTACATAAAACAAAATCATCAAAGAAATTTATCTTCAAAAATATTAGTAAATTGTTTGATTTGTTGAAAATATTGTTAACATAAAATTGATAACGTATAAGTTTAAGTTGTATTTAGAATCAATACATTGTACGAAACAGAACCAATACTTTGAAACTTTTTATCCAATTAATTAATATATCATGTTACTAAAGTTTATTTTTAACTTAAATTCTTTTTATAAAAATTGTAATTATATTAACATCGATTTTCTTTTCAAAAAACGAGTATAACTTTAAATATAATTTGTTAATAATTGCGATATCTTTAATGATAAAAATCTCTTTTTTAACCCAATCCAGAACTAATACAAACCAATATCATCTTCAAGAGAATAAATAAATTAGGGTTTTGCCAAACTAGCCTGGTTCAAACCAAACTTCGAACAAAGGTGTACACTGAATGTTGAAAGTGAGTTGGAAAGTGGATCCACTAATTCTGCAAAATCACAAAACTTTCCATTCATTAATTATTATCATTATCAATTGGGATAAGGTCTTAATATGTAAACTCTCTCCTTTTAACGAACTAGTCAGTAAGAACTTTTTCAAAAGGACTGAACCATAAGAGCTTTTCTTAGAACAAAAACAAGATTATGCAACAACCGGTGTCAGCTTCTTCTGTTTTTTTTAATAAATAAGTGGATTCCTACCAAGTTGTTCATCTTCTCACTGATATATTATTTTGTTCATTTTGATCAAACTGCAAATCATTCGTGCCAATTTGAGTATTTGACACTAAAAAATTAACAAAACTTAAATATTCAAACAAGCAACTCTATCATGACCTGTGAAGCAATGACAATACTAATAGCTACCGAGGAGAAGAATAATCAAATATTTTCTTAACGCAAGAGTAAACTTGTCGATATGTGACTACCTTACTTCAATCATATACTTATTATATTTTAATTGACAATTTTAAAATATAAAAGATTATACCCAAATTTAATCCAGATAGTAATTCCCTCAAACTATTTCCAGTTGTTATCGCATTCGCATCAAATTCCCTATCTCAATTCGAAGTGCATCAACGGTCCCAAAATCCAGCTGTGTTCAACATACAGCGCACCTGCTATCCTGCGCCTTCGCCAGAGGCTCACTTTAACCTACGCCACCCCTCCGAATTGCAATAAACAAACACAGCTGAAAAAAATGAAACGGAGGCGTATAATTTTGTGGTAATTTGTCAATTATCAATTATCAATTATCAATCCGCGAGGCATTGCATTTCCAGTTTCAGATGCTTATACAGAAGTCAAGAGCGTGACTTTTTTCCCTATTATTCCTGTTGATTATTCCTGTTGAATCTTCGTGGCGCGTGAAACTAAGTTGCAGGAATCATCTGGATGGTAAAACCAGAGAATGCAGCTTAAAAATCGGCGAATTTCCTGTGTGGCCGGATTTCATGCAAATTTTCCACGGTGAGGATCGGCAGAGTGTCGGCTCTCTCTACCGGCAAATGCCGAATGTTGTTCAAATCCACCGCTGAATCTACCAAAAACAAATGAATTTTTAAGAAAATCTGGTCGAAAAAAATTGGTTAAATGAAATTATCACAGTGGAAATCTGGAAATGCATCAAACCAGAATGCCAGGAGGAGCGATTGAATCCACGAAAAGAAGCCATTTCCGAAGCAGAGGGAGTGTGAGAGAAGAGGTAGAGAACGAGGAAGCAGCAAAAAATGAGAATGGGAAGGAGGTGGATGAACTTGTCTGTTCTGGAAGGAGGCAATGAAGCTCGACGACTCTTTCCGGCGTTGTCGTCGTCTTCGTCGTAACTGGACGCCGATGAAACAGAGTCTCTGAGCTTCGGTTCTTCGACAGTGTCCGTATCCTCCTTGGCTCCGCCATGACTGTGAAGCTTTGAGGACGGTGAGCTCAGAGACTGTCTATGCATGGTCTCAGACGCAGTGAGGGAAGGGAGGAACAGAGGAAGATTGATCGGAGATTACGAGAAATTTACCGTTAAGAAGCCAAGCTTTATTCTGCTATCGCTTTCTGAAGAAGTTCAATTTATTTATTTTGATAGATAAGTCTGATTTATTTTTGCATTCAAATTAAAGTACATTTACTCAAGCGATTTCTCTCATGATCTTATCGTAATCCTACGGTTAATTGCATATCCTTCTAAAACCTTTGCTTGGCTTTTACTCTTTTTCTATTCTTTTCTTTTTTTCTTTCCCTTCCTTTCTCGACAAGTTTTTTGGATTTTTTCCCTCTATCTTCTTTCATTTGCTACTTTGTCTGGTGTGGCGTTTATTTTATCGTTATTTTTTCTTCCCTTTATTTTTGATAAATTGATTTTTTTTTGTCAACAAGTAATTCAAAGTTGAAATTGTTCTTTTCAAGACTGTTGGCCACAAAAAATTCATATAATTCAGTCTATTTTAAATCAATTCTTGCAATCTGAATTATTTTGGTTTAATTCGTACCTAATTTTTAAATTTATTAGCATTTTATTTCAAAATGTAATAATCACTGCCATTTTAAATTTATTTTAATTATTTAAAAAATTGAGTTAATTTGAATTATGCATATTCGAAATATGAAAAAATATACATTGAGTTAAATTTCAATAAATTATTGATTATTGAATAAAATTTGAGAATTTTAAACAAATTACGTATATATTATACGAAAATCATAAATTTATTTTTTAAAAAAGTTAATATAGTAATCAAACTAAAAATAAATTGAAGTTGTTCAAGTGCTTCACACAAACGCAACAACCCTTCCTCTCGTGCACAGGTTGAGCCAGTAATAATTGAAAATATAATTAAATTATTTCACAATTAGATCCACATATAATTTGTAGCATTCTACAATTAAATTATGGGAGAATAACAGAAAAATCCTTTTAAAATTTGCAAATAATAATTAAATATTATACTCTCCAAATTCTAGAAATATGTCCAGCATTAATTTATTTTGTAAAATGACTGCTCATAATTTAAAACATTCAAATCCTAATTCAAGCAAATCTTTGAAAAAGACTATATAAACTTTTAAAATGGCTTCAAACCAAGGTAAGCTTATCATATGTTTAAACCTAAATCTTAAAAAAAAAAGTTTGAAAGCTCCAGCTAATTATTTATTTGATCAGCTTTATTGCTATTTAGATGAAAATGGATTGATGGGCCTGGAAGTTGTTTTATGTCATTCTCTAGCTCATCCTCCCCATAAAGTTAGAGTGAGGATGGAAAGCTAGCCGGAAAACAAGGTTTATTTTAGGATGATACTTGATTACTTGCTGTGAAAGTTTGGATAAGCAACATGATTATGTCCTTTCTTCTTTTTAAATTTCATCTTATTCTCCCCTATCAAATGCTGGCATTTCCATTGATTATCTCCTTCTGGCCTTTCATGTGAAACCCAAGTCTGCCGTCATCATGTTACCCATCTTTTGTCTAAACTTGTTAAGTTTAAATTAATTTAGATAGGACATGTGATCGAAAGACTTTAGACCAATAACATCTCGACTTGTAAGTCCTGTGAGGATCTACATGTGCTTCAGTGCATGGGCTTTATTAGTTTTCTTGAATCATGATCAATTCAGGATTCAACCGGCGCTGCAAGTTTCGCATCATTTTGTGAGAGGATTGTATATAGTTTTTTTCACTGTTACACTGCAATGCTCACATTTTCACTATGCATTTGACGTAAGGCTTAAGCCTATCTTTGGCCAAAGATTCAAGTTTCAGAGAGGGTTGTATGTTTTTATTCTCAATGGATATTCCTGGCGGATCAAATAGATTTTCACGGATATTCCCATTGCCAATAAATCTATTCTTTTTATGCCTCGCAAACCATAAAAAATAAAATAAATAAATACAAAGATTCAATCATTCACCTAGAAAATTAGCATGCCATTCCGAAAGCTAGAAAGAAGCATAATTGCCAGTTTGAGATAAAGAGACTAAATTTTTCACAACATAGTAAATTAAATTAAAATCCTGACTAAAAGAAGTGTTCAAATTTAAAATCTCTCTGTACCTCAAACTAAATTGTTTTCAATAAAAAAATAGTTGTTAACAATAAAAAAAAAGGTGGAGATGGGGAGAGAATTGAGAAGACGTTAATAGAATAGTCAATTATGATTGAGCTCATAAAGTTAGTCCTTTTAAGCTTAAAAAAAATTTAAAACTTATCCACTTCTTAAAGATATAAAATGATAAATCGAGCTTAAAAATTCTTTTAAGGCCTTCTTATATATATATATATATATATATTAAATTTAATATAAAATAAACACTGCACATTAAAAATAAAAAAAATTAGAAAACTGAAAATCCTAACTTGCCTCCCCCACGGTCATTTGATTTTTTTCATTCATGCTCCTTGCATGGTTTTGAATTTAATGGTAACTTATTATTATTAGTTTACTTTGAATATTTTTTTCATATTTTAAATATATTGAAATTATATTTTTGGTTTATTATTTGTTGTAAATAATGATGAAGAAGAAGGAATATATGAAAAGCTTAATATATTTGTCACTGATAAACTTTACAAGGAGAAGGATCAAATTATATTAATATTAATTATAATAAAAATTGTCAAAATTTAATTGATAATGCTAGCAAAGTTTAATTGTTATGAATGTTAATTTTGTCATATTGCTACTTTTAATTAGACTTAAATTTGTTATTATGTATATTGTCTTAAATTTATATTTCTAGACTTAATGTTATATATAATAATTTTTTAAAATTTTAAATATATTTTTAAATTTTTAAATTGAAAATAATGTGTGTTGGGAGGCCAAGGCATTAAGAGCAGGCCTTTTAATCTTGAGAGCTATAATTGAACTGATCAAAATGAAATTTAAAATATAGTCAGGTTTAATAGAGCCAATTTGTCGGCCCATCATTTTATAGGAAAATCATGAAGTTCAGGCACATATTGCAGCATTTCTTTATTTTCCATTTATTGGAAAAAGATTGTTAATAAAAATGCAAGGCGTTTAATAAGCTATCCGAGTAGATGATTCAGAACTTAGATAAGTCAAAAGATTGGAAAATATTTTTTAAAATGGAAAAGTCAATAAAAATAAATTTATATTTATTTTATTACGGTGTGCCTCTTGATATCACGCCATTGATAGGAGACGAGACGCAAATTACAAAACCCGTAGTTTTTTTTTTTTTTTGTTATTTTTTTTGCCAAAGACAAATAGACAATCCGTAGTTCAGACGAAAGAAAAAGGAAACCAACGGCCACGATGGCACCGTGGAAGAAGGGTAAAAAGGAGAAAAGAAAGAGAGAGAAATGAGAACGTCATTGCAATCGAAAATTCTGGCGGCCTCGTTCAAGGGTGCAAACGGGGAGGATGAAGGAAGAAGTAAACTTGCGCGACAGGAAACGGTGCGTGAGAAGGTCGAAGCAATAAATTAATAGAGAGGAAACGAATCCACAGAAGCTTCAACACAAAACCCGAACCATTCTCTGTAAAAGAGAGTCTCATTTCGAGAGTTGATCATGGTTCTCTGGGAGATTACCGTCACAACTGCTTATTTTCTGGGCCTCAAGCGAACTTATAGGCTTGCTTTGAGGCTTCAGCGAAAGATCATTAGCCCCAAGCATTATAAGATCCGTCAGTTTGCCCAAAGGTGCTTGCTCCTTTTCCTTTTCCTTTTTTTTGTTCTTATCATCTTTTTTGTTGATTTTTTCGTATCTGATCCTGTTAATCATTTCCTATGGATTAGTAAGATAATTTTCAGTGATAAGAATATAAGACGGATCACGCGCACTAATTGTGGCTTGATAGGACGATAAGATTTTCGGATTCGCTATTTCGGCATTAATATTTGCGTCGTCAATGGCATTTAAGAATCACTCTTGATCGTGTGAAGATTTGAGAAAAGTACGAGTGGTTTCATACATAATGTTGTTTTGTAGACCTGAGATTTGTCTCTGGATGATTAAAAATGGAGGAAATTAGCTTGGAGCTGGAGTTCTTATTGTACAATGAGAGTACGATTATTTTCAAACTTGTGCTTGAGCTAATTAGGATATGGATTATTGTAATTCTTACCTTGCGTTGTTGCATTACTAATTTTTTGCAATTAGCCTAAGCTTGTAAATTGCTGGCCCTCGTAGTCTTAATGCTCTGTGTTAGGTATTCCTGTAAGAAATGATTACTTTTTTAGGTTGAAAAGAGAAGAAAGATTTGATAACTTGCCTGAGTTGTTGGTAGAGGAGATTAATATGTTTTGAGAAGCCTAAACCGGAGGGTGATATATGGATGTGGCTATCGAAGTTGATTGCATATCTATTATAGAAGTTAATGAAGTAGGGAATTAGGTAGTAAGAACTAAGAAAGAACAGAAAGAAAACTGTTTGTTTATGTCATTCTGTTTATTCATGCTCCCTTTTATGTCAAGACAGAAAGAACAGAGTAGGGAAACGGCAAGACAAACCAGTGCAAATTTTAAGCTCTTTCATGTCATTATGTTTATTCATCCTGCCTTTTAAGTGGGCCTGAGGATGAAACTTGGCTGAGAAACCAATATTTATTTTATGATGATACTTATTTTACAAGTTTTGATAAGAGACAAGATCATGTCCTTTTCTTTTTTAGTTACCTGTCTTTCCCTCCTGTCAAACGGCGGAGTTTCCATTGATTATTTCCTTCTGGCCTTTTATATGAAATCCAAGCCTTCCGATTCTTTCTTTCCCTTCCCGTTTTTGTTGATATTTGTATTTTTTAAGGTGAAGTCAGAAGCAATTATGCATGTCTGCAGGGTTGCTAGATAGTCATATTGCGGGACATCCTAATACTAACTCGTCAGTTATAATCAATTAGATATGACATGTGATTTGAAGATTCTAGAGCCAATAATGTTGCAGTTGCAAGTCCTTTGAGAATCTACAATACATACGGTTCAGTCATCAGCTTTTGTTTTCTTGGATATTCTAAACTATGATTTTGATTACTTAGGTTTAGCTCTTCCACATTGATGCAAACTTATTAGATTTCTTTTATTTATGCGTAATGAAAATAACCATATCCCCCTTCAGCAAGTTCATAATATTGTGGCTTTCTTTAAATAACCGTTAGCGGTTCTGTAATGCAATTACTTTCTTGGTCTTTCTGCTTTTGTTCTTTACAGACGAACCCGTGCTGCATTTGACATTGCGCTCAAAGTTCACCGGAGCATTCAAGAAAGAGACATAGAAGTGGGCCGGAATGTTGGGAATTTCATTCTGCGATTCCTAGATCGTATGAAACCATCTGCTCAGATTCGTGGTCCTCCTCAAGGAACACCCACCAATGGTGGTACTGGTAACTCAAGCATGACAAAGCTAAATGCAACTCCCAAAGAGAAACCTAAGGGGTATTCCCGATTTTTCAGAAGGGACTCTGATCGGCATTTCTTTACCTCATCAACAAACATGTGGCCAAAGCCCTTTCCAACCATTGCTATGATGATGCGACCGCCAAATGCTGCTGGAACTTCAATCCACTACAGGCGCCTAACTATGTCTACGCCTGAAATGTTGCCATCAATCCACAGAGTAAATTGGTCGGACTCTGTTGTTAGGAAGGACATCCTACAATGGATGCAGCGAACCTAACACAGCCAATTTCTTCATTTGTGACTTGTGATAATAGTTTTGGAGTTCGATAGGATATGGTGAAATAATATTTTGTGCAATGTGGTAAATGCTGCCCGAAATGGTAGGTGCTGGTTGAATCTCAACTGTACCTCGTCACTTGAATTTTTTTTTTTTTATCCATTTTTCTTGTTCGATTCTGACTGTTGTATAGTTGTTCAGCCTTTCTTTGGGGAATTATCAGTTTCCCCTGTGTCTACTCTACAGATTTTGGTTAGAAGAACTAGTAAATATTTGTTTCATGGTTGCTTTATAATTCTCTGGTTTTCTTTTAGTTTCCCATGCTCAAATCTACAAGTATTTTAACAACTGCTGCCTTTTCTCTCTTGAAACACACTGAAATATATGTAACTATGTCACCATCCTTGTCTTTATCATCATCCACGTCATCATATATGTAAGGATCCTGGTCCTATTAGTCCCATTAGTCGTCCTTGTCATCAATGATGAGATCAACCGTATCGTTGTCTTCATCATAGTGATCCTTTCATCACCTGTCATGTCGTTAGTACCCATGTCATCTTTATCTTCATCAGCACTCCTTTAACCATCCTATCAATTTTCCTGTCATCTTTGTCATCCACATCAGCTCCCACATCATCACCTTACGAGGAGCCATATCATCACTGCAGTCCTAGTCATGCACAAGTCATCAACCCCGCAATTTCAAGAATCTAAATCTGTAACTAAGTGCAAAATGCATTCCATTACACCCAATATTCTTAAATATTCGATAATGTGATCGCTCAACCTTCGATTAATTATGATAAATGAAATAATATCCTTTTCCTGATATGTTGCTTCATTTATTCTTCATCAAGAAATTTCTAATCATTACTACCTTCGGTCTATTTTAGTAAATGTGCGGTATATTTTTCACTCAGATTTAAAAAAAAAACATATTATATTTCTTTATTCGTTAAAAATATCTCAATTTTTTAATATTACCCATATTAATTAGGGAGATATAAGTATTATTATGAAAAATATAACCAATGAAAATATGAGAGCCGTTTTGTTATATGTGTAAGGTCATCATGCTTTCTTAAATTTCAAAAATAGCATTAAAACTAAAGGGTAAAAATGGAACATTGTTTCATATTTTCGTTAAGTCACCTCATAATTAGGACCCTTTGTTATTTTTGAATAGTACTTTATAAAAAGAACTAGAGAGAGTATGTAACTATTCTGTAATATTTTATTTTAACAAATATGATGACCCAAAATATTAGAACAATGAATCATTTCATTGATAAAATATCAAATTTACATGTATTTTAAGTTTACTATTTTCATGCTATTGTAGTCTTGTAGAGATGTGTGTTAAAATTAAGTAAAAAATAATTACCACATGGAGCTGACATCAATTAGATTTCAAACATCTTGATCAACAAAAGCATTAGGGAGACATTTTTGGATTTTAAAATATTGATTTAATTTCAACAAATATTAACAGTTAGTATGCTATAAATAAATTATTAGATCATAATACGATATTTAAAAAAAATCTTATATTATATATAGATATAGATATATAAAAATATAGATTTAAATCACATAAACCTCTTTACTGTGGAAATAAATGTCCAAACTCTTCTACAGTTATGAGAAGGAAAGTCAATTTTTTTATCATATCACCCATATCCTGAAAAATCAGAAGTATTACCACCACATGCTTGAACTAATCCGGACCTTTGATGCATGCGATCATTCTTACCAATAAGAAAAATTAATTTTATGTTATGTTGATTGCTAATTTTTATAAATGGTGAGTTGGTTTTATTTTTTGGAGAAAGTGTAGTTGTTATACTTGCCGTGAAAAGTAATAGGTGAATGCTAATTGCGAATTATGAACTCTATATACGGAGATTTGATACAAAGAAAGCCTCTTTAATACTTATTCGGGTTAGAAGACAAAGGAAGATTTGAATGTGATAAGAATGACAGAAGCGGGAGTTATGGACTTATGGTTAGATTATTAGCTGAATGCTTGATATCATCAATGGATGAGGCAGGGGCCAGAAATTTGGAAAACAAAAAGTTAAGGACATGTGAATGTGAATAGGTGCTGATGCATAATCCATGAAGGGCATAAATATCACCTTTCTAGTTTCTAGTGCTGGTCATGTTTGTCATGTTCCTTTAAGTAGGGGTTGCAGCCTCTGAAGAAGACGTGCATGTTTCTAGGAAGCACCGATACAGAGCGAAACTAATGGTGACTGAGGAATGCATTAATGGTGGAGTGAGTGTTAAAGGAAGGTGTGAATAAAGGAGTGAAGCTACCATTTCTATGGTCAAGAACTGCATAGAATTTAAGCCATGCTCTCAAGCATGCACAGACAAAACACAGAATTACAGGGATGTGCAGAAGTAAACAATATCGATTGAACTAAATCGTTTCATATTACTTCCTCCACATCAATATTTCTGAGGAACTTTCGGGTGAAAGTCCATCAACATTGAATTACCACGTGACACCAAGATATATTTCCATTAAAAATGCCAGAAATTCAGGGTAAAACAACAGATTATTTGTATGTACCTAAGGGAGGAAAGAAGACCAGCGATATGTGTATGACTACTTTCCTACTGATTTAGAAGAGGACTCCCATCTCTGGCAAGGATGAAAAGACCACCATCCCCCCTTGAGATTCTTAGATCGTCGTCAAGATAAGTAGTGATAAGCCAGGAACTTGTCCTCTCACCGGGAATGGGGATCTTGAGGGGTGGCTGACCAGAAATAGCACGTGAGATGCTTACCACCAAATCCTGCAGAGGACTGAGAGTTTGTTGCACAGGCGATAGGCTCAGCTTCTGGCCAAAAATGTCAATATTTTCTGGTAGATCAAGTCTTGACTTTATTTCTGGGGGCTGAATGGTACCTTCTTTAAATGTGACCTGCTTGCATTTGCAGTATATTAGTAAAATACCAAGAATTTGTCTTTTCAAGATGAGAAAACAAGCTCACGACACAGGGTAGCTTGCAGACTGCGACATCACCAGGCAACATAAAAATCACATTTACATGCCTAAAGATCTGTCTAATATTGAAGGACCAGTACAACAATATAACATACGTAATGAAAAGCATAGATTTTCTCTTCCACGATGCTTTTTCAGTACCCTAAAGCAACAAGACGTTAACTATCATTTTTCATCATGCAAAAGCTTAACAAAGAAAAAGCTCGGTTAAAAGGACTGCAAATGTGTAAATCAGCAATCAATCTATAGGTTATTGATAAATTTAAAAGTTTCTTCTTCTCTTTTTTCCCTCTTGGCAGAAATTTTGCGGTTTTTTTCACATGCAAATTTTCTGCAGTCAAATAATGATTAAGTTTTCATGGCAATACCTGTATTCTTGTGGGACTTCGCACTTCAAATGAGGCAGATGCACTGAAAGACAAATAGTTGAAAGGGCTAGATAATGTCGTTGAGTTTACAATAGTGGAGCTACCAGTATCAATTGTTTGTGATATCTTGTCGACTTTCAACAGTGGTGTTGTCCCTGCGGCAAGAAGAGGCAACAGTTCAGAAGATGCAGTGTACCTGAAACCAATTTGACAAGCAATGTAACCGTAAGGGCTCAGAAAAAGATTTACGAGCTTAGAGACATTGCAACTTGCGATTTAGCTTAACCCAATGCTCATAAAGAATTCCCAACATGTATACCCAAAAAAGAAAAAAATTCGCAACATATTTGCTAGAATTCTGGATGAGCACAAATGCATTGACTCAGTTTAACATTATATGGTTCATTTTTTCAGTGCAAAACCCACAGGTGTAAACGTTGTTTACATCCACAAACAATAATTCTTCATCAGCATGACATGCAATACTAAACATGTAGATATATTCCATTAATAACTAAGAAATTAGACAAAGTAATAAGTAAAGAATATAATTCTCTACCCAAACAGCTACGTGAAAATGAATTTAGAAAAAAATGCCTCGGTAGATCAAGTCAATCTACCTTGAAAAATGTAGGAGAGTCAGTAATCTAGTCTTATTTTTTCCCCCTGCGAATCATTTAGTCTAATAGGAACCAGAAGCACTAGTTCATTTTACACTAACCCTCACTACAGCTATATAGCAGGGGGGTAAAAAACCAGCAACGGAATCACCCGGCACTACATTCATTCATTATTGTGGTCTTCTGAGAATGGGATTTATGCATAAATGGTCACGTTTAGGTCTAGTGTGGTTCCGGACCTGACTGATCCAACTTTCCCTCACATGATCTCCTAAACTAATAATCTAATAACATTATCATGCAGTCAGTCAATAATAATTAATAACTGTAGCAAAGCCTGTAAGGAGTCTTAAAGAACAAGAAAAAGTCCGAAAATTAGGTCATGCTCAAATCACTCGGTATATTTAAGCATAAAGGAGAATACGTATTCGAAAAGCTTAACACTGCAAGAGAATATCCACCCATAACTTAAGTCATCGGATGATTACTAGATTACGAGGAAATTTCCCATGCCAAGCCATGGATAGAATAAGCACAGGATGTGTCAGGAGCAATGAACTTACAACAATACCCAAGTTCCATTGAGAAGCCTGGGTTCCTCCACCGGCGCCGGAGTAGGGTTGGCCGCTTCCAACTGATTCACCAGCTCGGATACCTCGGCCCTCACTTCCGGCCCAGCTCGAAATCCAAAATCAGTTCCATAAACGGTGTCTACCAGAGCTTGCTTCAGCCCCACAAGTCGATCATCCACACCCACAGTCTGGTCCTTAATCGTTGCAGCCGGAGTTCCATTTTCTTGCCCCATATCTTCAACATCACCTCCACCTTCCTCCCACTCGTCCTCGTATTTAGGAGGATCCGAATCCGGAAGCTTCGTAGGCGCTGTTTCAGGCTCATACTCCTCGCCCCACTCGTCAGTAATCTTCGAGGGAGTTCCTGAGGGGTTTTCAGAACCATCCTTTCCGCCGGAGGCCGGACCGGAAGCGCCACCGGAACCAGAGGATCTGGAGCGAAGAGAAGGGAAATGAAGGAGCCTAGAAGAATTATAAGAGACAGAGAAGAAGGCGATTGAGGGGTGAGCAGTGGAGGTAGAGAAGATAGAAGATAATGAGAAAGGTTTAGGGTTTTCAGAGAATGCAGACGGAATGCGGGAGGTGAGGGGAAGAAGAGCCATCGGAAATGCAGGGGAAAACGGCGATGGACAGATTTTCTTTCTGGCTTTGTCAAGTGAGAAAGCGATCAAGGTCATGCTCGTGGAATAGAACATAGGACACACGTTTTTTATGTTCAATATTTGTAATTATAATTGATGATTGATAATTTAACGACCTGCCCAACTAATAATCCAACGCTCATCCTACACGATGTTATTAAATCTAAAAATTAGATAATTAATGTATATCGATTAAAAAATTACTTCAATTAATTATTTATAAAAATGGTGTATTAATTTTTTAAATAATATTTTTTAAAAATTAATTAAATCAATCATTTATATCAGAAATTATCAGTAGTATTATGTGTGCAATAAATATCAGTAATTTGAAAAATAAATAAATATAAAAGATAAATAAAATTAAATCTTATATTTAAAATTAAAAAAAACTGCTTAAGTAACTCTTACATTTAACATCAAGAAAAATTTTCACGTTCCAAATTACACCTTGATTTTTAAATAAGAGTACAAATCTCGTGGGAAAAAAAAAAACAATTATTTTTTTTTTACAACATTACTTATCATAACCAATTTTCCAGACAAAAATCAACACTATGTCTTATCGCAAATATAAGTATAATTATAATTCATTATATTTAAGTGAATAAAACGACTGACCGTCGATATTTGCATGGAGAATTGGTTATAGCTCATACATCTATATTAAATCATATTCTAAGTAGTGTGCCTCTCTAAAGACATTTTTGAATATATATATATACATATATCGGATAAAAGCGCATATTTACGTTGGAGTTTTTACCCCAAGTACACATAGTGTCTTAATCTTATTTTTGAAGTAATGTCACCCTCAATTTTTCAAAAACATAACAATGTTGACCACCCATTTATTTTAAGTCATGCCATCAATTTGTCAGCTTCGATGTTATTAGATGTAGCATCCCTTATTCATTGATCAAACTTACATGTGGCTTTGGGAACACCACCAAAAACTAGTTCTTGACAGTGAAAAGTTATAGTTGTTTGAGGGCTATGAAGGTGAGAGAGGACTTTGAAGACCTGAAACTTGTCGAGCACTCCTGACATTAAGAGAAGCATTTGAGTGCACCAAGCTTGGACGAGATCGTGAAAGGTGTGGTTGGAGGTCAAGTCTTAACTCTCTTCTACCTATTCATCGAAAGACTCGTCAAAGAAAACCTAATCATAGTCTGCAACAATGAAGGTGTGCCTTTGTTCTGTTCTGGTGCATTTGTTTTATGGCGCGACATGGATGAAATAGTCAACATGCTCCTCGGAGTCCAATTCAATGTCTTCGGAAGCTCGCTCCTTTGCTATGTTATGGTGCGTCTGTTTGTTGGCTTTGAAGTAGAGAGATGTGAGAATTTTCTCAGGAATTATTGTAATTTCCAAATGTGTTGCTTTAGAGTCATCAGGCTTTTCCACACGATTTTATTTTATTTTCACCATTCTTTTTATTTTCTCTCTCTTTTGAAATCTTTTTCCTCCCTTGCATCTTGGATTACTTATAAATTAAAGCTCAGTTCTCATCTCTTTAATTGTTTGAGACAAAGTCAACTCATTTTTCAATTTTCTTTCCTTGTCTAATTTTAGATAAATTTTTAATTCTGGTTGTTTTCTTTAAATGCTACACTGGGTTTGTAAACAATTTCATTCATGTTTTGAATTTGGATTGTTAATCATTTCATCTAAATTACAACCTTATTCAATTGCTCAATTCTTCTATTTCTCTCTTAAAAAGTGGATGTTTAGTGGTAACAAAGTGGATGTGTGAGTGATGTTGCTCGAGAGAATACAATCCTAATAATGGTGGTTGCTCGAGAGAGTACAATCCTAATAATGGTGGGTATAAGCTGTTGAGAGATGATATAGCACCAATTGAGGAGGAGAGGACAGAGAAGGAGAAAGAGGAGGAACAAGAGAAAAGATGAAATGGTGAAATAATAATTGTGCCTCGTTAGTAAAAAAAACTTGCCTAATCAACTTGTCAAGTCACATTTTTAGTTGAAGTAATACACTTAAGAGTCAACATTGCTCTGAATTAATGGTAAGGTGAAATTATATTTTTTTTAAAAGTTTGTAAGTGACATTATTCCAAAAATAAGATTAAAATATAATGCGCACCTAAAGTAAAAGTTTTAGCATTGTGAATGTAAAAAAAATATTAAAATAAAAAATGATAGCAAAATATCTTATCTAGAAATTACTAATGGTATTTTAAAAAATGTCGAATCATCATCTTCAACATATATAAAATTGAAAATGTAACTTAGATTTTTTTTTTTTGGCCAAAAAGGTGTAATCTACGCTTACTCCCGGCTGATACGGTATGTGACCTATCCACATTATAAATTGCACAAATTATCAGTTATAGGTTAGATGACGATATCTTTCTTCAAAATTTAAATTTTATTCAAGATATTCCCTTTATTTTGAAATTAAAAAAAAATTGTATGATTTTGAAAGCCATTATCTATGCAGTATAAATCAGTTAAGACTTAAGAGTCACTTATAAACTTAAACATATGAAGCACTGGCCAGTGAGTGTGTCGTTTTTGTTATATTAATTAATAAAATAACAATTTTTGTGGCTAAAAAAAATCAAGGAAAGCAGGAAAACGAGTCTAAAGTGAATTCCGTGGATACCCTTCGTTAATATCTTCTCTGCTTCGCTTTATGAGAAAACCTGGTTCAGACACGTTGCTTCAATCGCGACCGTGTTGTGTGCATGATCTAATACTTTAATGGCATCATTATCAAATATTCATATTTTTATTTTTATCGATTTTTTTATAATCACATTTTTATATCAGCGTTATAATCATATTTTTATTTCTTATTTAAGTAGATAATGAACATCGTCTAAATTTTTTGTGATTGTACAATGGACTCTTTGTCGCAATTCTGTGTTGAAAATTCCTATGCATAAAAATTCGATTGAATTGTAACCCAAATTTTTTTTATCATGAATTCATCCTCCACCTCACAACACTTTTCTAGTTTGAACCCTAATGTGGATCGATTTCGTGGTCAATATCAGAGTAGGAAGAATAAGTTTTGAGCCACCTCTAGAAATGTTATTCATAATTAAACATCTTGAAATTTTAAAATTTTAAAAAACTATGGTTCTTAACCCGAATTTAAAAAATTTTTGAGTCAATCTTTTCACACTCATTTTTCATTTTTTTAGTACTAATTTTTGAAATTTTCAATATTCATCTTTTGCATTTTAATTTTCAATAGTTAATTTAAATATTTTCTTTACTTGTGTTTCATTTTATTTTTCCAACTAAATTTACAGATTCATTATTATTTTTAACTCGTGACATTTCTTACCAAGTGTTCACCCAAAAAAAAAAATCTTACGATTAAATTCATTTAGTAAATAATAAAAAATAATAATTTATCTTTGTTAAATAATTAGTGTAATAAAATTAAATATTATCTTATTCCATGTCTTTTTCTAGCACAATTAAAAAGGTTGGGACAAATAATGTAATCTATTTATTCTTCCATTAAAATAACACATGGCTAATTAAAAAAACATTCTTCTCGGTAAAGATTTATTTTATTGAGAAAAAAATGTGCTCCGAATCCGACATTATTGCCAGTACAATGGTATTGTAGAACAATATAAACAAGTTGGTGTCGGAAATTAGCCCAAAAGTGTTTCAAGATTGGGGTTTTCAAAGCCCAACTTTAAACATGCTTTAACCGTTAGGGCTGCACGGGTGGGTTTACAGGCCTGCGGTCCTACCATTTTTTTAAAAAATTAAATATTTAATACATATATTTATAATTAAAAAATATATTATAGATAAAATTCAGGAAAAAAAAACAAAAAGACAAGAGTTGCAAGTTGCAAGTCTATACAAAAACCAAGAAGACGTGACGCTAAATCTGCGAGTCTTCGAATTTGGGAGAGCTATGGAGCTAAGGCCTCCTAAGTAAACGGCAATGAGTTTATGAGTTGAAGAGAGGTTGTTGTTTGAGTAGACCGCTAGTGTTTACTATTTGTTAGAGTCTTGTTTATTTATTATATATTTCTAATCTGTTTTTTCAAATGAAATCTCTTTTAAAAAATAACATTGTCTAAACAAGCCGGTCCTTTTATTTTTTAAGTTTATTATCGCCAGACCTTGTAAGTCCAATTCTCCTTTATTTTTATGAAGAATTTCAATAAAAAATTTTTGATCACACTTATTTAAATTCAAAGTCTTTAAATTTATGAAATTATATTGCATTCTAGAAATATTGATTTGATATTAAATTTTTTTTAAAAAATAACAAAATTATCTTTCATTTAATTTAATATAAGAACTTTCTTACTTTACTTGTTTATTGTCCTAATTCATTTATTAATTTACTTATGAATCGTTATTAATTACCCTATTTAATTTATTTTTATTTTAAATATTTAAATCATCTTGAGACATCTTGTTAATTCCTATATTGACTGTTGTTTATTGTTCAACTTTATTTGTTTATTGTCAGATTTTTACTTGATTTTATTATAAGAAAATAAACAAATAAAATAAGATAACTAATAACATTATGTAAATATTAATAAGTAAAATAGAATAGTTTTAACATTAATTTAAATGAAAGATAATTTTATCATTTATCTCAAAAATTTAATATTAAATCAATACCCTACATTATAATGAAATTTCAAAAAATTAAGATTTTTTAATTTAAATAAATGTGATGAAAGGGTGTTTATTGAAATTCTTTCTTGGTTCTACCTAGTTTAAAGTTTAAATGGGTCGGTCAAATCGGCCCATCCCGTTTTTTCCGGGTGTAATTTATGTATACAATGGTTATGGATGATAAGCTCTTACATAACTTATTGTTTTACCCCGTAAATTCAGATAAATGATAAAACACAAAATCAACCTCACACGTGCAAGAGCGACCACCAAATTAAATATTCTTACATTACGTGCACGCTTTTACTACTTTATAGTAGCAGTCTAGCAGATGATGTGATGAAATTCCAGAGTCAAGATGCTTCATTGACTACCATTATTATCGCTGTTTTTAATTACCGATCTCTTTTATAAAAATA